AAAATGTAAGTCAAAACTAAATTAAATCACTGGGAAAATAATGATGGAATACACAAATAGCTAATTAATTGGAAAAGAGAAAGTTAGGTCCCTACATTATATGATCGGTAAAATACTGTAATAGATTAAAGATTTAGCAATCTATGTATATAACAGCCAAGCACTCAGAATGATGGAATGACCGGTCATTACCATGTGTACTGCAGCAGCCAGCCGCCCCTGACTGGTCCCCCACCCTGATGGGGAGCGAAGCTGGCCGGCCAGCCTCATGCGTCACCAGCCCCCGCCAGCCCGGTTCCGTTCAGGGCTAGCCGGACTCCACCCATGCACAAATCTGTGCACCGGGCCTCTAGTAAAATAAAGAAAATAGAGCTAAATATTTACTACATAATTGTCAGGGTTCAGGAAGATAATTTTAGAGATTATTCTAAAAGAAAATGTCTAAGATATTGATATTAAAAATGTAAAATTTTCTATTCTGAAAAGAAAACAAAGCACAATAAACAACATGAAGAAAATGTTGATAGCATATGACAACAGAGATTTTCTTAAAAATGTCAAGAAGATGAAAAATATAGTAAATATAAAAAATTGATAAATGAACAAGTTAAAGTTTTCTCTTTTTTTTGTTTATCTGTATTTTCAACATTTTATACAAGAAACATACTTTGTAATAAAAAGCAAAGATGTAGAAAATATTTGATGACACTGAAAAATGTTCACAGCATGACTTTATACTTAAAACAAGTCACAGAAAAATAAATAGAATATGACTCACTGTTATAAATATTTATAGAGAAAAAGACTGAAGAATGGAGGGATTAATTTTAAGGAGATATATTTACAGTTGTCTACAATGAGCTGTGTAACTTCATAATAAGAGCACAATCTTAAAAATCAATATCAAATGTCTATATGTGGAGGGGAAATTTGAGCTTAATATGTATAGTATGATCCTAGTTTTTATTTTAAAAAGTTATAAATGCAGAGAAAACAGCTTAGAATTAGAGAATCATTATCCTACTTTGGGGATGAGGTGTGTGGGTTTTCACTTTTATACTTCTAGAATGCTTCAAACTTATTACTACAAATATTTATGTAAATTAAAAGATGAAAATCTGGAAAATAAAACAGAAACGAAGAACCTAAGATTAAAACATTTTTTACCTGAGTTAAAAAGAAATTAAAAAAATTCTCTTAAATTGTCATACATTTACTAGAGGTCCAGGGCACGAAATCCGTGCATGAGTGGAGTCCCTAGACCTGGCCAGCGATCAGGGCCGATTGGGGCTTTCCTTCATTCCATGCCACCCCCTGGTGGTCAGCGTATGTTATAGCGAGCAACAGAACTCCTGTCTCCTGGTCAGACTCCCGTGGGGACACTTTGCATATTACCCATATATATTTATTTGTATTGTGAAAACCTTAAAAACAAAACAAAAACAACTTATCACAGCAGTGTATAAAAACAGCTGAAGTATAATAGATCTTGTGTGGATATAGTAATAGTCCACAATGTTAGCAAGAGCAAAAAGCTTATTTTGTCAAGCTACGGCAAGGAACTCTATTTTGAATAAAGAATTAAAACATTATTCTCTGAGATAATTTTTAATATGGAAAACTGGCAACAGTCCCCTCCTCTACTATTTTTCCTCGAAATGCAGAAAATAGAAACATGAACTGTCTCTTTGATGAAACTAACATTAATTATACGTGAGAACCTGCAGTGCAAGATATGGAAGAGAAGAAAAGTGATTTGTACTATTGAACTCCAAAAAGATCTTCAGCAGAACTGCAGAAGAGACTGGGATAAGGCTGAAAACAAGGAGACTGTATAAAAACCAGACTCCTAGGTTCCACTCCTACTTAGCACAGACAACTTCCTCCCTAGCCCCATGGAAAACATCAAGTACTATCTACAGATAAGGTATAGTCTCCAGACAAAGTGAACCAAAAGTTCTGGGCTCAGGACATGTGTGTGCAGGTAGCCACAGAATGATCACAAAGCAGGGTAAGTGAAAACTGACTTAGTCCTGTAAATAGAGAATTCTAACTCCCATTCCTCAGCCTCACTTCAGAATGTCAACTGCAGGAATACCCAAAGGAAAGATCTACAGGAACTAATACATGGAGGTTTTAATAAATAAGGAAGCCTGACCCTCCTACTCCTCGCCCCTACACAGCTTCCATTCAGCTTTTATGTGCCTTATCTTTACATATAAACCAAAGAACAAGAATCACCAGGCTTTGAGGAAAGCTTCTGAGTTCTGGTCCTAACTCTACTTCTAAACACGTAAAAATAAGGAGATAAGATATTCTAGATTTGTAGTTTTCTATAAAATTAAAAGGGTACATTTTTCATGCTACTTCAGAGTAAACACAGGTCAAATCTGGAATTTAAAAAGCATTAAAAACATTTAAAAGTTATCTGGATTAGAAATAATTTTTAGCCTTAATAGAAGCATCCTGATGTAAGAGAGGCAGAATATGCTTTGACAGATAAGGTAAAGCAGATACCAGGACACTTTACCACACAGAGTAGAGGTTCACAGCTCTGATAAATTTGCTTTATATTTGGACTCGTGCACTGATGGGGTCTCTTGGCATGGCTTGTGAGAACTGGGTTGAAACTGGCAGTCCAACACCACCTGCTGCACCTGCCTGTCACTCCCACTCACCCCGGTCCTGCTGCATCTGCCCTGGGCTCACGCCCAGTCAGTACTGATCGGGAGAGGCTCGGGTCACTGGTGCCCGCCAGCTGTGAGCCCTGTGTCTGGCGCTCCTGCACTGAGCTTTTGCCCCCCTGGTGGTCAGTGCGTATCATAGTGAACAGTTAACTGGTCACTTAGGCTTTTATATATACATAGATTCTATAGTCATATTTGAACATTCGTTTTCACTTAAAAACTATAACTCTTCTTGGTTGATTTTCCACTTAAAACCTTTTTACCAAAGTCCACCTGCCATTAAAATAGGTTTCCACCCCTCGTGGCAATGGTTTCTTGGATCTCAGATTCCACTGAGAAGAAAATAGGAACTCATTCCTCCTCAAAAAAATGTGTGCGCTGGAAACAGCCTAGGTGCCCGTCAGCAGATGATTGGATCCAAAAACTGTGGTATATCTATACAATGGAATACTATGCTGCCATAAAAAGAAGGAATTCTCATCATTTGCAGCAACCTGGATGGAATTAGAGAACATCACGCTGAGTGAAATAAGCCAATCAATGAAAGAGAAACACCACATGACCTCACTTATTTGTGGATGATAAAGAACATTATAAACTGATGAACCAAAAGAGAGATATAGAGACAGTATATCAACAAGTAGACTGTCAAATTACAGTGGGGAGGGGAGGAAAATCTGGGGGAGATAATAGATCAACCGAAGGACTTTTATACATGCATATAAGTACAACCAATGGACACAAAACTCTGGGGAGGGAGGGAGGAAGGGGGGCAAAAAAAAAAATCAATAAAATATATATTTAAAAGAAGAAAAAAAATGTGTGTGCATGTATGTGGACATACATACTTAAAATCACATGACAACAAAACAATTTTTCAAACAACTTCAGAGATTAATGAACAAATCTGGGGAGAGCAATGTATTTTATATACAGTTTTTCAAATATCTTTCTTTTATGTCCTTTTATTTAGGTCTATTTTGATTTCTGTTGTCATCCCTAAGATGGAGACTCAGTTAATAATATTCTTAGGAATTTTCCTGAAAAGACTAAAATACCTATTGTAACATTAAAATACAGGTTGATATATGGTTTGCACTCAAATGTAAAAAGTCTTTTCCTTGCTCACTGATAAAGAATAACTTTCTCACCGGGACCGGTTTGGCTCAATGGATAGAGCGTCGGCTTGGGGACTGAAGGGTCCCGGGTTCGATTCCGGTCAAGGGCATGTACCTTGGTTGCGGGCATATCCCCAGTAGGGGGTGTGCAAGAGGCAGCTGACCCCCAGTAGGGGGTGTGCAAGAGGCAGCTGACCGATGACTCTCTCTCATCGATGTTTCTAACTCTATCTCTCTCCCTTCCTCTCTGTATAAAGTCAATAATATATATATATATATATATATATATATATATATATATATATATATATATATATATAAAGTAAACTTTAAAAAAAAAAAAAAGAAAAGAACAACTTTCTCTCAATTGTTCTTTCTTATTGGTAGATTCCAAATAATTTCATCTAAACACGGTAAACTGTGTTGATCTTGCTTTCAAAATATTAATTTGGAAGTTCTACTATTTTGGACTCATCCTTTGTCCCCCTTATTTATTCAATAGTCTGCTTAGTAAAACAGCAGGTCCTTGAATAATATCGTTTCCCTCAAAAACGATATTATTTCATTATTTGTTTCATTATTTGTCATTTTGTTAAAGTTGCAGACCTAATAACTATGTTAAATGAGAACTTACTATATTTATAAACTCATAATAAAGAATGTTTCAACTCCTTAAACTCACTGACATGAAATTAACTAATTTTCTGGCAAGGTGTTTTAGCCGAGTCTGAGTTGTCTTGTTGACACTTTCTATATTTCCTTATTCTAAAATCAAGGTGATGCTGAAACCGGTTTGGCTCAATGGATAGAGCGTCGGCTTGGGGACTGAAGGGTCCTGAGTTCGATTCCGGTCAAAGGCATGTACCTTGGTTGCGGGCATATCCCCAGTAGGGGGTGTGCAAGAGGCAGCTGATCAATGACTCATCGATGTTTCTAACTCTATCTCTCTCCCTTCCTATCTGTACAAAATCAATAAAATATATTAAAAAATAAAAAATAAAATAAAATCAAGGTGATAATCACTTGTATATTTCATCTTTTCTGAATGTTCTATCCCAAACCATGTATAATTTTGTTTTCACATTAGCAGTCTTCTTCAAAGAAACTACTAACAATTTCACCTTAATCATAAACTCTTTGGGGATAATTGAAGTATTCTAATTATCTCCCCTTCCCCCCTGCTCACTGCTCTTACTTGCGCAGCCTCTGCATTCTCCAGCATCTCTTCGAATTCCTGATACTCTTCATCATCTGGCTCAGCACCTGAGAGTCGAGCTGCTCTGGCCATGAAATACGGAGGCAACTCTCCAATTGCTGTACCGACACCCTATGTCAAAAACCAAAACAATCACATAAGATTCTGTTCCCAATACAGTGACACTAAACACATCAAATCTATATTTTTCGATATCACTAGAAGTATATTGAGATGTAGGCATAAGTGAGAAAAGCATATACTAGTACATAATTAGGAGGAATCCTGGCCCCCATACTAACCAAGGCAATACCAGGCAAGATGCTATACATAAAACTGTCAGACAATCCTGGTGTATTATAGACATGAAATTAATGTTAGTTCTCTTGCATATCTACTTCTATTCTAATTTTTTTTATATTCCTTACACAAGGATATGTTTTTTAATTGATTTTTAGACAGAGAGGAAGTGGGGGGGGAGGGAGAGAGAGAGAGAGAGGGAGAGAGAGAGAGGGAGGGAGGGAGGGAGGGAGGGAGGGAGAGAAACATCACCAGTTGCCTCCCATACAGTTTCTCGGACGGGGACGACATCTGGAATAACTTTTTGGTGTATGGGATAAGCCTCCAACCAACTGAGCCACCTAGCCTGAGCTCTACTTATACTCTATTTTTTTGTCATTTCTCCCCCTTTTAAAATATTCAAATGATTTGGTGATGAGCATTCACTGATCTAGCTATTAGACAAATATTTCCTAGGAAATCTGATATTTAGAATGTTGCTTTAATCCCAACAGAATTTTTAGTGCAGAGTTAAAAATTTTAACAAACTGTGGTCAGAAAGCCCCTTGAAAACAACATTAGGATGGATAAATTTTAACCACAGGAAAATGTTTATATTTCCTTAGGACATCGAGTGACTCATGTTTTAGTCTCTTTGTAGATTCTTGTTTTTGAAGAGAATTCCTCCCCCCCCCCCCCCCAACAAACTCAACATCTAAGGGTAAAAACAAAGGTAAAAGAATCAGGAACTTGGTTTGAACTTACATGGCTCAAACATAGCATAGGTAATACTGCAGGAGGCATATAGCCTCCAGGAAAATTCTCAACTTGCAGCCATCCTTCTCTGTCCCAAGTCAGAGTGAATGAAAAATGCATGTGCTAGTTCTAAGAAGCAACTTTAGGCCTTTCTGTTTGCTTTGTCAAACTGTGGCTTTGCCTACAAATGCCTTGAAAAGAATCCCCAAGATACATAATCAAATTCAAAGATTTTGTGTTCACGGTGCTACATTTCAATGTGTAGAATCAATGATCCAAGTGAAACTGCATTACCCACATGTGAATCAAGAGTTCTGAAGAAAGAATAAGGCTATAGTTAGTTAAAAAAAACAGAGAGAAGGACAAAAGAACAAAACAAACCATACTTTACTAAACAGGAAAAATTAAAGTCAGTCAACTTTGGAGTGTGTTAGACCAACTTACTATTTTAAAAACTGGAAAGAAAAAGATCAATTATTTATCCTATCTTACCTATATGAATGATATCTCAGGGAAATTAAATTGCTGATAAGTTTCTCTTTATAAAGTTATTTCAGTCAATAACTAAAGAAAAAATAATGCAATTGGGATACTCCTATTTTATAACCCCTAATAAAATAATGAACATATAGTAATAGTGCTAATATCATACACACAAAAGACAACCAGACATTACTGTACCTTGTGACAGAAATACACAAGGCTCTGAAGTATATTCTTGCCAGAAAGAAAATTTTTTCAAGCCTCTCAATCTAACTATCAACTCACAGGAAATATAGGAAATATAGAAACATACTTAAATTATACCAACTAGAATACAATCAGTAAAATCAGGGCTGTGGGAAACTACACTTGACAAACAATCCAGTTTCTTTCTTTCTTTCTTTTTTTTTTTTTTTTAATATATTTTATTGATTTTCTTACAGAAAGGAAGGCAGAGAGATAGAGAGCTAGAAACGTCGATGAGAGAGAAACATCGACCAGCTGTCTCTTGCACACCCCCCACCGGGGATGCGCCCGCAACCAATGTACATGCCCCTGACCGGAATCGAACCTGGGACCTTTCAGTCCGCAGACCGACACTACCAGTGAGCCAAACCGGTTTCGGCACAATCCAGTTTCAATAACAAATAAATTTGAAAATAAAATAAAATAAATAAATACAACCAAAAAATTTTGAATACTAACTGTTCAACTAATTTGAAGAGGCTATTCCTAATTTCTCTTAGGTGGTTTTTTAAAGTTCTATAGTAGATATATTTACAGATGAAATGTGATATGTTATGTAGGATATGCTTCAAGATAACTGAGAGCAGAATGAGGAGGGGTATATATAAAACAGCATTAGCCAGGAGTTAATATTAGTTGAAGTTGGGGAACAATATGTCTATTTAATAATATAATTCTATGCACTTAAATTTTTTTCCATAATTAAAAGTAGAAAGAAAAGTTAACTATCATATTTTATTTAAAACATGAACTCCTAAAACTTTTTTCTTCTTCTCATCACTTAGGAATTTCTTGATTTTTATTAGCAAATATCTACAATAGAAACACTGAACAATAACAAAATCACGAGGGGGGGGTCGCTGGAGAGAGTCGGCAAAACTGTGGTTAAAAACACGGACTCCAGCCGAAACCAGTTTGGCTCAGGGGATAGAGCGTCATCCTGTAGACTGAAAGGTCCCAGGTTCGATTCTGGTTAAGGGCATGTATGTTGGTTGCGGGCACATCCCCAGTAGGGGGTGTACAGGAGGCAGATGATAGATGTCTCTCTCTCATCGATGTTTCTAACTCTCTATCTCTCTACCTTCCTCTCTGTAAAAAATATCAATAAAATATATTAAAAAAAAACAAAAAAAACAAACATGGGCCGAAACCAGTTTGGCTCAGTGGTAGAGCATCGGTCTGCGGACTGAAAGGTCCCAGGTTTGATTCCAGTCAAGGGCATGTACATTGATTGTGGGCACATCCCCAGTGGGGGGTATGCAGGAGGCACCTGGTCGATGTTTCTCTCTCATCGATGTTTCTCTCTCATCGATGTTTCTAGCTCCCTATCCCTCTCTCTTCCTCCCTGTGAAAAATCAATGAAATATATATTAAAACAAACAAACAAACAAAAACAACAACAACAAAAAAACAAAACATGGACTCTGAACAATCTCAGGGCCACTCTGGACTAGCTGGGTCCTTAGGTCGGTTTCTCAACATCTCTGCTTGTTTCTCCATTTGTAAAACTGAGATAATAATAGCACCCACCTCATAGAACTAAGGAGACTGAACACCTTAATAACTGAAAAGCATTTAAAACAAAGGTCAGCACATGGTAAGTGCTGTATGTGTTCATAAAACTTTAAGGTTTTTAAAAATTAAGTGGGTTAATTTATCCATGGGTTGTCCATACACAATGTTAGATGTTATGCTAGACATGTATATACCACTCTCTGTCCTTGGTATTCCTTCAGGGAATGTACTCTGACGCAGTATCTATAATTATAGCTTACAGTGATTGCCTAACACAATTCTAAGCATCCAAGAATGAGTAAACCATGGACACACTGTGATATTAAATGTCACTTTATGTCCCAACAACATCAGCCTCATACTTCTAAAACTTAAGTCAAATGTTAAATTGTTCTGAAAGCAATCATGACTCAAAGTTATGACAAGTTTCCTTCAAGTTAAAAATTATCAATTGAAATGAAATAAAAAGCTATAAGTCTTATACTTAATTGACCACACATTACACACACACACACACACACACACACACACACACACACACCTTTTAAAAAAAATGTGTTTTTATTGATTTCGGAGAGGGGAAGTAGGAGAGAGAGAAAAATCAATGATGAGAGAGAATCACAGATCCTGGGCCTCCTGCATGCCCCCTCCCGGGGGTTGAGCCTGTAACCTGGGCATGTGCCCAGAATGGGAATCAACTGGTGACACTTGGGTCAACACTCCACCACTAAGCCACCTCAGCTGGACTCACTCTCTTGATAGTGACTTCCATGCGCAAGGTTTAAATGTTAGTAAAGTTCAATTAATCAATTTTCCTTTTGTTACCTAACTTTTTGGTGTTACATTTATGAAATGATTGCCATCCTGGCCGGCATGTCACAGTAGTTGAATGTTGATCTAGGAACCGGGAGCTCACGGTTGTAAGCTCCATTCCCAGTGTGGGAGGTGCAGGAGGCAGCCAATCAGTGATTCTCTCATCATTAATTATGTTTCTATCTCTCCTTCTCCCTTCCTTTCTGAAATCAATAAAAATAAATACTTAAAAAAAGAAATGATTGCCAAATTCAAAACCATGTAGATTTTTCTCTATATTTTCTTCAAAGAGTTTTTATAATTTTAGCTCTTAAGTTTATGTATATGATGCACTTTGAGTTAATTTTTGTAGATGGTGTAAGGTAACGGTCCAACTTCATTCTTTTGCATGTGGATATTCAGTTTTCCCAGCACTCTTTGTTGAAAGGACTGTCCTTATAAACGTTAAGAACAATGGAAAAAATTTAGACAACTTGATATGTGCCACATTTTTCACTTGACCCAAGACAGTTGTCAAAAAAGGAAATATGAAAAGCAAACATTCAACCAATTAGTCAGTATCTATTTATTATTTTAAAAAATATTTTTTTCATTAATTTTTAGAGAGGAAGGGAAAGCTAGAGAAACACTGATGTGAGAGTGGAACATCAATCAGCTGCCTCTGGGACACTCCACCCTGGAGATTGAGCCCTCAACCAGGGCATGTGTCCTGAGCAGGAATTGAACCAGCAACCTTTTGGTGCACAGGATGATACCCAGTAACTGAGCCACACCGGCTAGGGCAATCGATATTTATTCACATTTTTGTATAGTTGCAAAGTCTAATGCTGAGTGCTGTAGGAGTAACAAATTTAATGCACAATCTGTATTTTTTTAGGAGCTTAAAATTTATTTGGGGAAGTAAGCCACTGTACGAACCAAGTTGACTAATTTAAAGTATGAATGAAAAGCCAGGCCAAATGAGCACTTCAGACAATGTGCACTGTGGGAGTTTGTAGGAGACAGTTACCACTGCCAGCTGGGATGGAAGCTTTTCTTTATTGGCATTGGTGTTAATCCAGCTACATAAATCATTTTTGAAAGAACAAAAGAAAAATAGAAAACTAAAGTCTATATACAAAGCCCCTTTCTAGCATGTTCCAAGTATCTCCTGTTATTTTAATAAAAATATTTCATCAAAAGACTAATGTGGTCAAATTTAAAAAACACAGGCAACTAGTACAATGAATCCGTTTCCAGTGTTTATGAAAGAGTAACAGGAAATATGACAATTTTTCCTGTCTTTCATATTCAGCAAGTTCAATGTATGGCATTTCCCTTATAATTCTTTTAAAATACAACATAACTGCTACCACACAGATGTCTTTGAAAACTCTGCCTCTTCTGTGGGCACAGTATTCATATTCCTCTTTAGTTAAGATTTTTAAGTGATCTATTCCACAATTTAAAAAAATATATATATTTTATTGATTTTTTACAGAGAGGAAGAAAGAGAGATAGAGAGCCAAAAACGTCGATGAGAGAGAAACATCGACCAGCCGCCTCCTGCACACCCCCCCCACCGGGGATGTGCCTGCAACCAAGGTACATGCCCTTGACCGGAATCGAACCCGGGACCTTTCAGTCCACAGACCGAGGCTCTACCACTGAGCCAAACTGGTTTCGGCTGTTCCACAATTTTTATTTGATAAGAAACTGTTAGTGAAAAAGTTGTAGGTAATATATAACTTAATAAATGCAAATGATGAATTAAAAATAATTGACATAGTAACAGGAAGTTGTTTTTAAAAAAAATATTCTTTATTGACTTTTTACAGAGAGGGAGGGAGAGGGATAGAGAGTTAGAATCATCGATGAAAGAGAAATATCTGTTAGCTGCCTCCTACACACCTGGGGATGTGCCCGCAACCAGGGTACATACCTTTGACCGAAATCGAACCTGGGACCCCTCAGTCTGCAGGTTGACGGTCTACCCACTAAGCCAAACCGGTTTGGGCAGTAATAGGAAGTTTTGAGCAAATGAACTATTCCTTAATGATAGACAACCTGAATAAATTTAAGCACATAAAAAGTGTTTTGGTCGAAACCGGTTTTGCTCAGTGGATAGAGCATCGGCCTGCAAACTGAAGGGTCCCAGGTTCGATTCCAGTCAAGGGCATGTATCTTGGTTGTGGGCCCATCCCCAGTAGGAGGTGTGCAAGAGGCAGCTGATCAATGATTCTCTCTCATCGATGTTTCTAACTCTCTATCCCTCTCTCTTCCTCTCTGTAAAAATAAAAAATCAAAAAAAAAATCAATAAAATATATTTAAAAAAAAAAGTGTTTTGTATGGGTTAAAATACATTTCGCCACTGAACATGTAGTCTAAAAACTTCCCAAAATATACTGAAGCAAATAATAAAAAGAAAACATCAGTACAGCTGAAAGTAAGATCACAATATACAACCATAGAGTCTGATGCCTCCACTATAATAACTCTTGGTTTACGAAGAAATGTTTCACCCTACTTTAGTATTATAACAATTCAGAGAATAAAATGAGTCTCCTAAGAATAAACACCACGTATTTAAATTTAGGAGACAAACATAACATTTACCAATTTGAGACTAATATATAAGCACTTGATATGTGTTTATCAAACATATAAATATTGGCAAAATTTTACTAAGTAAAATAGTTGCATCATCCATACTCCTTGACCCTGCTATTGTCTACTTGGTACCTATGGCTTCATGCCTTCTTTCTGAATGCCATTAATGAGCAGAAAAGGCTCTAAAGGATTTGTTTTACTTGGAAATAGGCAGCTAATGGCTTCATGAATTAGTTATCTACTGACTTGGTATGTTTGGACTCAATTTCAAAGAGGTACAACAAACTATACAGGCAGATTAACTTTAGACAAATATAAGAACAGATATCTTACCCACATGCAGGCCTCAATCCTAACTTTTGAGATGATGCTCCACAAAGAAACGGATCCTTCAATGCCCTCTTCGGGTGGACAAATAATCTGGTCAGGATAGGGTGGTTCAGGGAAATTAACTGAATTGCATTCGTAAGCAGCTAATGTAACTGAAGCTATATGTGGACCCTGTAAAACAAATACAAGAAAACTAGTTAGAAATATTAATGAAAAGGGAATCATCAATATACATGCTCTTTTAACAATACTTTAATTGCTATATATTAATAGAAAAACCTTAGCCTTTAAAGAACAAGAATCTATTTAACTAAATATTTAATGTTACAGATGGTAATTTGAAAAACTCCTTCTCAAAATTTCCTCCTGGCTTGGTTTAAAAAGAGAAATCAGATTTATTGATAATGTACATATAGTAAGTCACTTTTCTGGGTTTATATTACATGAGTATTTATTTATTTATTTATTTATTTTAAGCGTTAGGGTTAGGGTTAGGGCTAGGGTTAGGGTTAGGGTTAGGGTTAGGTTTAGGGTTAGGGTTAGGGTTAAGGTTAGTGATAGGGCTAAGTTTAGGGTTAGGGTTAGGGTTAGGGCTAGGGTTAGGGTTAAGGTTAGGGCTAGCGTTAGGGTTAGGTTAAGTGCTATATTACATGAGTTTTGACAAATATATTTAGCTGTACAATAATGAATCAAATTATAAAACATTTCCATCATTGCAAAAAGTTCCTTTGTGCCCTGTTATAGTCAATCTCCCTCCCCCATCACTGTCCCCTGGAAACTATATCATTCCTGGCTTGGTTCTGATTTTGTTTATCCATATTTTTTTTTAATAAGATCAGCAATCTTTTCATATTATATATATATATTTTATTGATTTTTTTACAGAGAGGAAGGGAGAGAGAGAGAGAGCTAGAAACGTCAATGAGAGAGAAACATCGACCAGCTGCCTCTTGCACACCCCCTACCAGGGATGTGCCCGCAACCAATGTACATGCCCTCGACCGGAATCGAACCCGGGACCTTTCAGTCCGCAGACCAATGCTCTACCACTGAGTCAAACTGGTTTGGGCCATATTTTCATTTGTAGTTTACATTCTCGTTGATAAAAATTTCTGCGCTCCTATTTTTTCAGGCATAACTTGAGAATATCACTTTATGTCCTTATAAACAGCTGGTGAAATAACTACTTCACTTATATTTTAATCATACAGGTTAAAATGGGTTAATAATACAATAAAGCTTTAAACAAGGGTTCCCAAATGCACATGTATGCCGAGGTGAGGTTTCTGCATAAGAACCAAAAAGGGAGTTTGTTAAAAATGTAACTTCCTGTTTGGCTGGTATAGCTCAGTGGTTGAATGTAAACTAATGAACCAGGAGATCATGAGACAATTCCTGGTCAGGGTATGCTAGTTCTTGGGTTGGGTGCTTGATCCCCAATAGGGGGCATGCAGGAGGCAATCAATCAATGATTTTCTCTCTCATCATTGATGTTTCCATTTCTCTCTCCCTCTCCCTGCCTCTCTAAAATCAATTAAAAAAACAACAACACCCCAAACAAAAACAAAACAATAGGTAGGAGTGGGAACCTATATGCTAATAAAGAAGTTCCTTTAGAGTTTTAAATAGGATATGTTCTAATAAGCTAGGTTTAGGAATCATTGGGAAAATAGTAAATTAAGGCTCAGAAAATAAAGACGTCGGACTATTTCACTTAACTCCCTGGGCTTCAGTTTACTCTTCTGCAAGGCAAGAGAATTAGACTCATTTTATGGTTTTATCCAGCTCCCAAAACTTCAAATATGCCAATAAAATCCAATGCTAATTTCCAAAGTTCTCATGAAGTATAAGACCTAAAAGTTGCACATTCTTACCATGTTGCTCTAACACCCATGGTAAAAGCATTCACTTTAAAGCATAAGAATAACTTTAGACCCAGATGTTCTGGTTTAGGCTCTGGCCTCTGCCACTTATCTTCTGAATCTTGCTTTCCTCATCTATAAAATGGGAATAATAAAATACCCCAGGAACTACATCCTGAGGATGTAAGATTGAAATTAGTCAATTCATATAAAGTGTTCACCCTAAAATGATATAGGGATGATATAGTAAACCCTCAGAAAGTACCAGCCATTGGGTATTATGAAGAAAAATGATGTATTTGTAGAATTATAATATATAAAAGTATACATACAATAAGGGGTCTCTGTATATAAGTGTCTTTTTAAATGACATAGCGAAAGAATTTGTGGTTCAAAGACTGCATAAGATCTAGTGAAAAAATAAGACACTAAAGAATTCCTACTGCTATCAAGATAAAAGGTTATATAAAACAAAAATTTTTGTTGCATATAAATGTGAAAAAAGATATTCATAAATCTAAGCTACATTCCTCCCTAACAAAATGGGTATTTTTGTTCAAATAAAATCTAAGAAATGAAGTTCTACTCTTAGCACTGAATCAATTAGTTATTAGGTTTTTCTGAACCTATGTGAAGAATTCTTTAGTTGGTTCCTCATTTTCTTGCGTTTTAATTTCTAGAAATCCATAAATAGTAATATCTAAGTTTTAAAAGTAATTATAGTATGTTTTTTAAAAGAATGCTTTTGAGTATTCAGGTCTTAACAAATATTATTAGCCATGAAATCTAACTGCTCCTTTAAATACTATGTACAAAAGAGATTTCACAAATGGGGAAGAAAAAGACTATTTTATAATCCTAAAAAATAATATACCACGTTTAAAGTTAGGGGAATTCAGAATCACTGAATAATCAGTAAAAAAAAATTAAAATAATAATAATAATAAAAAAAATTCTATATTGTAAAAGAGAAAAAATTCAAGTTTGTCCATGATATCTCTATACAACTGTCTCCTTTGGGTTGCAGGAAAAGTCTCCCTCTGAGTTCTAGAAAAAATTAAACCTTTCTAGGAGATAAAATAATGAGATTTTTGTGTCTAAAAAGGGAAATTCTCAGCCATCTGATGAGAATTTTTTTCCCTAAAAGAAAGGACAGTTCATTCACACAACTAAACTGATATATATATACTTTCCATAACCACACTAGTAAGTCATGATTACTCAGCCTTAGAGCCAGATGTGGTGGTTCCCAGACAAAACGAATACAAATAAATTAGCTTCTTGTCTTTTGTTCATTCTGAAGAGTCCATTTAGCCTATACCTGACATTTCAATTCTTAAATATAACTGACTTGACTGAAATATTAGTTACATAAAAAAACAAAAACAAAAAAATATTTTTTACTAGAAGCATTTGAAAAGAAATACATATTCAAACTACCTTTTAAGTGTATTTTCTAAAACCTACAAGTCCTATTACTATGTATCAAATATGAAGGAATCACATTTTAACCATACAAAATGGAGAAACATGGGAACAAACAAACAGCTATGGTGTAAGAAGAAAAGACTACCTGGACAGAACCACCATAAAAATAACACCGTGTTACAGTTTTTATGGGAGCATGCAGGTATTCGTATGTATTTTTTTTATTTTTTTTTAATTTATTCGTATGTATTGACTACAGATCCTGGGGTGTGGCTGAGGGTTTTCCACCTCAGCTCATGAAGTAACTGGTACAGACTTTTCCTACAGCAAACAACTAGAAAACTGGATAAAAGTATATGGAACACTTCTTTTTAGACACTGCATCACAGGACTACTGGCTGCTAAGAGAAGGGATACAAATGAGGATAATATATGAGGACTCTGGCTCTTGACTTATAGACACACCCTGACAGTAAAATCTACAGTCCAAAGAGGAGGAGCCCATGCACAGCACGGAGGTCTTGCTAAGATGAGGAAGAAACGGAATCCTATATAATAAAAAGCTAATATACTAATTAGACCGAACAACAGAACGCCTTCCAGATGAAGCAGGGGCTGCAAGACTGTGAGTGCTGAGCCCCTTGCATGAATTTTGTGCATCGGCTTCTAGTATATAAAAAAGAACAAAGTGGAACGTCTAGAGCTAAAAGTATAATATTCGAATAGAAAAATTCATTAGACAGATCATCAACTGCAGAAGAAAATATAAAGAACTTGAAGACAGGGAAATGGAAAGTATTCAAACAGAGAGTGAAGGCTATGAAAGAAATTAACCTCTATAGCCGAAACCGGTTTGGCTCAGTGGTAGAGCATCGGTCTGTGGACTGAAAGGTCCCAGGTTCGATTCCGGTCAGGGGCATGTATGTTGGTTGCGGGCACATCCCCAGTGAGGGGTGTGCAGGAGGCAGCTGGTTAATGTTTCTCTCATTGACCTTTCTAGCTCTCTATCTCTCTCCCTTCCTCTCTGCAAAAAATCAATAAAATATATATATAAAAAAAAGAAAAAAGAAAGAGGAACCTGGAGACAACATGGTCTAGTCCTTAAAAAAGAAAAAAAAAAAGAGAAAAAAGAAAAAGAGAAAAAAGAAATTAATCTCTATAACCTATTAAATAACACCAAACAGTCTAATATACATGTGATTGAAATCCTAGAGAGAAAAAGTGTGTGCATGTGTGGGAGAGTTATATGCAAAAATAAAAAAATAAACACACACACACACACACACACACACACACACACTTGAAGAAATAGTCAACTGTTTTCAAGGTTTGATGAAAAACCCCAATTCATCAGCTCAGTGATCTAAAATAACTCAACCAATTAGTCAGGATCAAGAGAAAAAAAATAAAACATATCAAATTGCTGAAAATCATGATCATATCATATTAAATTGCTAGAACTCAGCAATAACAAGAAAACCTTAAAGCAATCAGAGGGGATAAAAATAACACACTATCTATAGGAAAATATAGATAAGACTTATCAGACATAATTCAAACCAAAATACAATGGGAAAATTTCTCTAAAATATTTAAAAGAAAAAAACACCTGCCAATTTAGAATCCATGGAAAATATATTTCAAAAATAAAGATGAAATAAAAACATTTCAGGAAAAAAAAAAAAAAAAGGGAAAGAATTTGTTTCAGTAGATCTGTAGTATAATATATGTTAAAAGAAATTCTCAGAAGAAAAGTGATACCGGATGGAAATTTTAATGTACACAAAGGAGTGAAGAGCACTGAAAATATAGAAGACCCTTCCTCATTTTAAAATCTCTTTAAAAAATAACTAGTTGTTTAGAGCAAAAAGATGATATATG